CATGTTGGTGAGCCCAAACGGCATCACCACGAACTCGTAATGACCATAACGAGTCCAAAACGCGGTCTTCTCCACGTCCTCCTCCCTCACCCTGATCTGGTGATATCCTGGTCTCAAATCAATCTTGGAAAACCAAGATGCACCCTGCAGCTGATCAAAAAGATCATCTATCCTCAGGATCGGGTAACGGTTCTTCACCGTTAACTTGCTCAGCTCCCTATAGTCAATGCACATCCTGTGCGAACCGTCCTTCTTCCTGATAAAAAGGATCGGTGCTCCCCAGGGTGAACTACTCGGACGAATAAACTGCTTACCCAACAGTTCCTGCAACTGAGATGACAACTCCTGCATCTATGGCGATGCCAGTCGGTACGGCGCCTTAGCGATATGGGCCACATCTGGCACTAGATCAATCGTGAACTCAACCTACCTCTCCAGAGGGACTTCGAGTAAATCTTCCGGAAACACGTCAGCAAACTCTCTGATCACGGGAACCTCTGAAATTGAGGGCTGCTCCCTAACCCGCGTATCTACCACGTACGCTAATTAACCGGTACACCCGTGCTGAATATACTGTCGAGCCCTGGCTGCCGAACAAAACCTTGATCCTAACCCGGTTCCCTCACCATATACTACAAGTTCTCCCCCACTTGGGGTTCGATCCACCACTCGCTATCCTTCACATTCGATCATGGCGCCAAAACGGGTAAGCCTATCCATCCCTACAATCATGCACACTTCCCTCATGGGGATAGGAATCAAATCTATCGGGAAGGACACCCCGAAAATCTCCAACTCGCATCCCCGGTAGATCGATGAAGCAAAAACCCCATGCTCGTTGGCGATTGAAACTCGCAACGGACACTCAAGATCATCTATCGGCACACTGAACCCTCTAGAGAAGGTCTGAGATACAAACGACCGACTCGCCCCCGAGTCAAATAATACCAAAGAGGACAAAGAGTTCACTAAAAACGTACTTAATCACAGGTACAATCAATAAGCATAACACAAATACAATAACTGAGACAAAGAATAGAAACATACTAGCAATCACATCCGGTGCTACCTTGGCCTCCTCGGCCGTGACCTGGAAGGCGCGACCCTGAGCCTTCGGAGGCTCCACCTTGACTGGCCTCCCATCTCCAATCCTCACAGTAGCGGGCACGAAACCCTGCGCCGACTTGGCGGCGAGCTGCGGACAGTTGGTCTTCACATGACCAACCTGATGACAATGGTAACAAATCTTCATATCTTCTAGAGGGGTGGACTGACGGCAGTCCTTGGCATAGTGCCCCTCCTTGCCACATTTGTGGCACCCACCTCCTGCTCGACAAACCCCCGAATGAGCCTTGCCACACTTTCCCCAAGTGTGGCTCTAATGACCCCCATACCGTGTATCAGCGGTCTTAGACCGCTTAGGCGGCAACAGAGACTGTGTTGGTGCCTGACGCTGCTCCATCAGCTGCAGCTCTATCTCTAAATCACGCCGCCTCGCGGCTTCCTGAAGACCCAGGAGGGTATCACAACGCTGTGTAGCCACAAACTGCCGTATATCCGTCTTGAGCATACTCAGATAACAAGTCATCTGACACTACTCTTACGCAAACTTTGGGCAAAACATACCCCTCTCATTGAACATCCGGGTGATCTCCATCACAGACTCCCCATCCTGTCTCAATGTAAAAAAAACCCCTGAGCAAGCCGCTCCTGTTCCACGCACGGAACGTAGCGGGTGAAAAACATATCTCGAAACTGCTCCCAAGTAATAGCAGCCCACTGATCATCAGAATATGAACCTGTCGTCAATCTCCACCAGTCCTTTGCCCCGAGCCTAAGCAGGTTCAAAGAACACCTGACCTTCTGGTTAGCAGGACATAAGCACGTGAAGAAATGACCCTCCACGTCAGACAACCACCGCATAGCCCTGATCGCATCCTGTGTACCATCAAATGTCGGGGGCTTCATATTATCGAAGTCCCGGTACTGGAAAGCCCTGCCAACTCCTCCTCCAACCTCTGTCGCAGTTACAGCTGAAGTGGCTGCAACGGAAGTTGTCTCTGGTAGAGCTGCATATCACTCATCAAAGTACTCAACCATCGCGGTCTTAATCGACCTAAACATCTTTGGCAGGTGCGCTCGGAATGCAACATCAATCTCGTCTTGAATTGATCTCCCGGATCCTGGCATCCAACTCCTCGGTCCCTATCTGAACCACGGGCTCAGGTGCTAGCGGCACCTCCAACCCTCCGTTTCCTGACCCCGATCCTGATCCTGATCCTGATCCGGATCCCGAAGCAACACGTCTCGTCACCACCATACAAAAATATATATACAAGTCATCAGATAAATAACATAATGTCGGGAGACCAAAACCCAAAACCCTAGGGTTGTGATTTCCTTGCTACGCGTATGAGTCATGTGCTTTCAGTAGTACGAGCCCATACTACCTTCCACACCTACCCATATTTGTCTCAAGTATCACCACAACGCCCTAACAATATCATCAACATAGAAATACGCCCAACCCTCACTTCTAGAGGAATATCAACTATCTTGCATCTAGTATCCCCACTTCTCATGACTCATACATCCATGAAACTTCCATCACCCCCTGCAGCACTAGTGTATGCTAGCTACACATAAGACTGGACCGAATAGACTTTCGAATACCCAATCATACCCAAAGGCCGAATCAACATTCTCAGGCTCTAAGGTCTTTATTATGCACAGTCGTGATGCATACACTAAACATCTACAGTTATGATGTCAATTCCACATACAAGAAACCCTATGCTAATAGGCATCATATAATCAGGAAAATCTATCATCCGATTCCCGAAGATCCCTAGCCTAGCACTAGCATGCTGTTCTAACATATCAGAATATCAAACAACTGTATGGTATTTTGGGGTTTACTTACAGGCTCCGACTGATCGTACCCTCTGCACCCCCCATCCTTTATTTTGAAAACCATTTTAAAAAACTTACTTTCCAAAAATCTCCTTGATTTGAGACTGGATTCACACGAGTGTTCCTCCAATTCACTCAAACCAAGGCTCTGATACCAACTTTTAACATTCATAAATTTTACGCTAAATTTAAACTTTTTCAATCATAAATAAAAACCAAATAGCATTGTTTACAAAATGTTTTCAAATCATTTTCCATCAGAGTGTCCCAAAAATCATAACATAAGGATGAGGAGCGGTACGGTCATGCCTTCGCCTTTTCATGATCTCCTGAAGTACCCGAAACAATAAACTGATAACTGTAAGCCCGAGGACTTAGTGAGCTATCCCCAAAATACCAATACCACACTGACAATACCATATCAGGAATAATCAACCAATCAACATGCATACTAGGCCATCGGCCTAACTGGATCTCCCTATCGGGCCTACAGTCTATCTGAATCTATCCCAAGCCTTCGGCATGACTGGTCCGCCACGTGGGTCTACAGTCTCCCCGGACCGCTTATAGGGTATATTAGCCTTCAGCACAAAGTCGGACCGCCTCAAACCAACCGCAAGCAAATAACCATGTGCGCATACTATCATATACTGGCATATACAAACATCAAACATATCTATCTCACTGATCATCAATCATAGAATTCTCCTGTAACTAGAGTTCCGACCTAGCAGGTCACTAACTTGTCGAGTTCACGGCCATCTTCATGTGACTTTCCGAGTCAACCTTGCGACTCGTTGAGTCCATTCACTCCTTTTTCCATATAGACTTATTTTGAGCCATGCAGCGGCTCCAAATCACAGATCCAAGCTTCTAGGGAATGCTTATCACGTAAAGTTGCAAAATTTACGTGCATGCATGGCTATAAAGGCTCTAAATGCCTATTTTAAGTTCTTAATGGAACTTCATGCTCAAGAGGGACCTTAAGCATGACCAAAATTGAAACTTTATGCTTCTAGAATCCAAGGAGGGTCCAGATCTGAAGTTACAACCTCAGATCTACCCCATAGCTCATCTTTCCAACTTATTATCTCACCAAAAACCCTAAAACTCAATCAATTGAAGAGATTCACAAGGAAAAGGCTATGTGGTTACCTCCAAAAGATGATAATTGAGATAAGAGTTGATTCCCACACTCTACTTGCTCCAATCTCCTTCTCCTCCAAGCCTTCTCCCTCCAAAGATCCTATTTTCAAGCTTCAAACACATAATGGGCACACACACACGCACACACGTATTAGGGTTTTAAGGGGCTGTCAAAGACTGCAAAGAGGCCAAAGGAGGCCGAGGCTCCTTTAAATAGAGGTGCAAACCATGAGATTTAGGGTTTCATCTGCCAGCTCCTACTCGCCGAGTCCCAATATGGACTCGTCGAGTAGGTCACTTAACATGCGATCCCACCTCATTGCTACTCGACGAGTAGGTCAACCAACTTGTCGAGTAGAGCTTAACCCAATAAATCTTATTTAACTAATACCTAAGAATCGGCGCATTACATTGAACATATTCACATTGTTTTTTTAACGGATGATTAGTGATTAGAAGTCAGTATCACCAAGTTGTTTAAATTCGCAGACGCCCATAATAGAACCCGAAGCCTCATATCTACGTCTTATTATACTTTGATAATAATCAAGAATTTCATAATGAAAGTTTTAGAATATGAAATTTGAAAAGAGTGTTATCAACTTTAACAAAAAAACGCAATCAAATTTCTATGTTTGGAAAAATGTTATTATATATAATAATTTTAATTGAATAAAAGATAAAACCATGAAAAGGAATAGAATATTTTTATCAACCCAATTGGGACTTTACATAAAAACTAGACATGAATTTATAAGTACACTTAATACTTGTTTGACTTGAAAGCATGGTCCAAAAGTCAAAAAATGCAAAAATTCAATAGTATGCATAAAATTCAAAAGTAGAAGTATCCTTTCGACCAACATTTTCAATCTTTTTTAATCAAATCGAAACTTTCAACTCAGATCCACTTCCCATAAAACAGAAAATTACATTTCCAATTAAATCGATTGAGAGTGGGATTCTGATTCATGTGTGTAAGCTTCACTATCACAATCGGGCACATCCTTGAACAAAACAGCATGGAATTTCTTCCGCAAACCACCCTTAACATTAAACACGGGCATATCAGAATCCGATTCCATATCCATACCCGAAACACTCATCCATGACAAAGATTCTTTTTCTTCAATACTAGAGATGACAGAGACCGATCCATTACTCAATCTGTCTATGATGTTCATGTTGTAGAAGACGATCTGAACGCCGAATGTAACGAAGCAGGGATGTGTGAGGTGAACGGAAAAGGTGTCGTCGGTGGGGATGATATAGTACGATTGGACGGCATTGGGGAGGATCCCCTTTGGTAGGTCGTATATCGGGGAATTTCAAGGCGATGGTGGTGGTGCTGTGGTAGATTGAGATCAGAGTGATGAGTAATGATCGGTTGATGGATGCCATTGATGGATAGTTGGAGATTAGTTTACAGAGCTTAGAGTCAATTCGAAGGATAATGATTATTAGAACGAGTTTTGGAGTTGCTCTTTTAAGGCTAATGCTATAAGTACCCTCCTTATTTTTCAATTCCACCCCATTGATGTGATTTTTTTGTCTTTTGTTGTTTTTTTTTTTGTTTTTTTCCCTATTTTGTTTTTTGTTGTTTTTTTATTTTTTTATTTTAATCTTATTATTATTATTATTATTATTATTATTATTATTATTATTATTATTATTATAAATTTCAATAACCGTATAAAATTCGGACAATTTAAAATTTGGAGGAAATTTTAAAATTCAAACGAAATTATAAATTTAGACAACATAATAAAATTCGAACGACAATATAAAACGGAACAAAAGCAAAGTTTGCCTTTATTTATCATTGGTATATTAATTGGTTCGATATTATATTTGCGTAGTGCGTTATGTGGATTGAAAAAAAACTTTACTTTTGTTTCATTTTAAATTGTCGTTCAAATTTTATAATATCGGTCGAATTTATAATGTTGTCTGAATTTTAAAATGTTGTCCGAATTTATATGGTTATCGAAATTAATAATAACAATAATAATAATAATAATAATAATAATAATAATAAAACAAAAAACAACAAAGAAACAAAAAGAATAAAAAAAACAATGTTAAATCATAAGTAAAAGGTTGATTAGATTGATGTTAAAGAAACAAAAAGAATAAAAAAAACAATGTTAAATCATAAGTAAAAGGTTGATTAGATTGATGTTAGAGAAAAAAAGGGTAAAATTGGATAAATGGGTTCTTATAGCACAACCCTCTTTTATTTCTAGATGTCACATTTGTATAATCAATACCAAAACGTGATAAATATAAAGGAATTATATAATCAATTTGTATAGTAAAAAAGCAAAACGTGATAACGGTATATAGGAATTGTATAATCAACGTGTGATTTCATAATAAAAAAAAATTAAAACGTGAAAAGAGTACAGGAATTGAATAATCAAAGTGTGATTCATAATAAAAAATTAAAAGGAAAAGGAAGACTCTTTCCAAAGTCAAAATGTCTTAAATAGGTAAACATTGTTAATTAAAGGGAAAATGATAGCCTTATAAACTTTTGGTTTTTGTTTTAAATGATTATTTATTTAATTTTTTTTAATAGTTTAGGGGCATAAAATCCTTTAATAGTTTAGGGACATAAAATCCAAGTTTATCCATTAAAAAAAATCATTTAACCGTTATGATAGGCACCGATGACATGTCGTATAGTGTAGTTATTGTTGATTTGAACGTTTAATCATCATATTAGTGGCAGCTGTGTATTTACTATTAGTACTCTTGAATGAAGAAATCGATTTTGTATGTGTGTAATTTGGTTTATTTTGTACCGAAAGTTTGGTTTATTTGAGTAACTCATTGTGTTGGATTAAGCATGGAATAGTACAAAATGTTAATGGATCAACTAAGCATAAAGAAATCGTCTTGGTAGCATCAAACCAATAAGTTAAGTTAAATTGATGGGATCAGTTAACTTAGCTTAGACATAATATAAAATACCCTAATGTGTCATACTAAGATTATAAATATATGTATGAAAATATGTTTATCTCATAATGCACAAAAGGTCAACCGCCACATCCGTATTGTAAATGTCATCCAATTCATATGTTTATATGAAGATGGAATTGTCCAAAATATTAATGTGATCCAATTCATATGCACAAAATGTTAATGTACATGAGTTCACCAACATACACATTGTTTACTAAAGAAAATTTTCCTAACTTCCACATCATATTGTAAAGTAAAAACATGATATAAATACACACGAACATACATAAAACTTACTTAATTAAACTAAAGGAGTTCAAAAATATTGAAACATGTTCATGGGACAATAACAAGTAAAAATACACACAAAAAAATTTAGTCAAGAATTAAACACAAATCATCAAACCTAATCCAACTCGCATTTTAGGTTTTTTTTGGAAACGGCAACTTTTATAAAAAGAACCAACGACTAGCAAGAAACTAGTGAAGGAACAAACCAACAGACGGAAACATTATTCAAACTAAAGTAAATACAAGAACAACAAACGAAAATTAAAGATATCACCCAAACGGATATATTGACCATTCTTCCCAAGTGCACATTACTTGTTTACTCCTGCATTTTAACCAAAAATACACCATTGATTTTACTGCTTCAACACCAGTTCCAGGCTTTGCGAATACTCCTTTAAACACACGGTCATTCCTGAGTTTCCATAAGTTCCAGATAAGTCCGTGACATATGGTGACGAATCTCTTTCTCATCTTTAAATTCCGACCCCATCTCTTTCTCATCTTTAAACTCGCATTTTAGGTACTTCGGTTTTCTAAAAAACAAAGGTTTTTAATGACAATTCTCACAATTCGGAGCATTTAATTTATTGGAGTACTCTTAGATGTTGTTTCCTATCGACTTGATGAATCAATTAGATTCTTATAATTGTATCTTCTTCCTTTGATGCTTCATACCATTTTGTGTCTTATTATACTTTGATAATAATAAAAAATTTCATTACGAAATTTTTAGAATATAAATTTTGAAAAGAGTGTTTTCATCTTTAACTAATACCACAATCAAATTTCTATGTTTGGAAAAATGAATTGAACAAAAGATAGAGTTAGAAACATAAAAAAGGAATAGAAGTTTTTATTAATCCAATTGAGAATTTACATAGAAACGACATTCAAAAGGAAAATATTTACTATGCAGAACTTAGTTACATCATAAAACACTTTGGAACAGATTTGTTTGACTCGAAATCTTGCTCAAAATCCCTGCAAAAAAATTCAATAGTATGAATGAAATTCAAGTTCTTCAAGAATCTTCCATTGCCAATTTTCATTCATGATCCTTTATAACTTGAGACACGATCAATCATGGGGTCAAGAACAAAGAGGGTGACTTAATTGCAGAACTAAAATCATAAATTAAGTATATTAATCAATGAACTCGTTTAAGTTGCAACAGTTAAAATTGTGTTGATGATCAGTATGGTTATAGTATAATCAGATAACTAATCAATATACATCTATATACCAATTAACTTTAGAATCTGTCATAATTGAAGTCGTTCATCTTATTTACAGAAACTAAGAGTATCTTTTTGATCTAGACTACAGATCCACTTGGCATAAAACAGAATTACCTTTCGATTTAAATCGATTGAGAATAGGATTCATCATCATCTGCGTAAGCTTTGCTCTTACAATCGGGCACATCCTGGAACATATCAGCAGGCAATTTCTTCGACAAAGCCCCAACATGAAACTCGAGCATATCAGAACCCGAATCCATATCCATACCAGTAACACTTAGCCACAAGAACAATTCTTTGGCTTGAATACCGGAAACATCAGAGACTGATCCGTAACTCAACTTGCCTTCGATGTTCTTGCTGTAGTAGACAGTCTGATCTTCGAATTTAACGTAGCAGGGGCGTTTGAGCTGAACGGTGAAGGCGCCGTCGGTGGGGGAGATATTGTAGGAATCGACGGCGTTAGGTAGGATGCCCTTCGGTAGGCCGTATTCCGGGAGGAGATCGTGGATTTCGGTGGCGATGGCGGTGGCTGTGAGGTGGATTGAGATTAAAGCGATGAGTAGTGATCGGTTGATGGACGCCATTGATGGATTGTTGGAGATTAGTTTACAGAACTCAGAGTCAACTCGAAGGCTAATAATGATTAAAACGAGTTTAAGAACTGCCCTTTTACATATAGCTGTCGCATTTGAATTTGATAAGGTGGTTACATGTGACATCTAGCGTAACATTTTTGTATTCTATTTATTTATTTTTTTTCTAAATAATTTAATGAGTAAATTACAATTTTGGTCTTTCTGATTGGAACTAGTTTTGGTCCAATTTTTTAAAAATTGATATGGATGATTATCCGTGTTTCAAAGAAAAGCTTTAGCTAATTATCCTGTTTAAAAATGCCTTATCATAATATATGTATTGTAGAGAAGTTTTTCTAATGTATATTTATAGGATTACACACTCAAGTTGTATCATCAAACAATAATACTATAGAACAAACTCTTACATGTGAGGTTGTATCGTCAAACAATAATGTTATAGAACAAACCGTGAGTCTTTTTGCAATAGATCAAACATTAATGATGATTCGTAGGCTAGGATGACTTCTCCTTTACGATCAGAGATAATTATAATCAGTTTGCTTTCCTTTTTGTACATTGTCGTTTATCTTAAATACATGGAGTAATGGCAAAAAAATTGGTCTGTTGGTGAATAGGCAGTACTCGAAATCAACTTAGGGAAATGACTTACTTATGTGTTGATGTATGGAAACACAATCGAACATTGGCAGTTTAGGGTGGGTCCATGGTGGCACCGACAACCCCTGACTGTTCCATAGACAGTGGAAAATTTTTCGAAATTTTTATTTTTTCTACTGTCGTGCAACCATTGACTTTCCCGTGACACCCCTACTATGAAATTTTGTGTCCGCCTTTGCAATCGAATCAAGATAAAAATGATTGACCTACAATCTGAAGGGGCTCAAAAACTACATAACAATAACCAAACAAAAACCTAAAGTTATGATCTTCAAACCCCTAAGTAAAGAAAAATAGATGCGCTCACTAGTAGTTAACGAGTAGAAATTATGACTTTAGTACGTATGGTAGAAGTTTATAATTAGAAGAACCCCTACAAATACATAGTAACAACCACACAAAAACTTAAATTTATGATCTCCAAACCCTTAAGTAGACGGAAATAAAGGCTCAAGCGAGTAATTAGCGAATAGAATTTATGAATCTAGTGGACATGGTTGAAGCTTACGTCGAAAACAAGCAAAACATCAACACTGGAGATGAAAATAGTTGCTTGCGAACAAGTATTGAGTTTTGTTTGGTGGGGCCGATAACTTTTTTGTTAATATAAACAAAATATAATCGTGAAAGTTTAACGGGATGCCATTTATGTCCGAATCAACATAGTGCGAGTTTGCATGTTTTTTTCGCAAGATTGGCGGTTATTTTCTTAAAGTTCAAAAAATCATGGTTGTGTAATGATATTAAAGTTTCTAATATGATATTTTTATAAATAATTCTTTGTTTATTTGTTTTTTTTTTTCTATTTTTTATTATGAAATTTTAGATTATTTGTCACACTTAAAACTGTGTGAACACCAAATTGAAACCGGTAGCCTAAATTCAAAAGCAAATTAAAATCCCTAACTTAAAAATCAAATCAAAATCGATGTGAATTTCGTTAAAACAAAGAAAACTGTTGTGCACAACTAAATTCAACTAAGTCTCGAACTTTTTAGTAACGATGTATGGGTTTCATTAAATCAGAGAAAAAAAGACCAGTTATAGCACACAAACAATGTACAATATGACTGACAAGCCAAATACTTAAAAAAAAAGTATTAATACCCGGATCGAGTATTTAAATTACCCAAAGAAAACAAGCTAAGGCCGCCCGGTATGGTTGCAACGACGGGTTCGTGGTCTAGCTGGCTACGAACCACGACCGTGCACACCATTCCGGTGGCAAGTGGTGGTTCGTGGTCGTGGGGAATCGTGGTTGGGACAACGAATGCAAACGGAAAATGTGATTGGGTGTTGAGTAAATGCCATATTTTTTTTTATTTTTTTTATTTTAATTTTCAAACAACATTAAACCTCTTCTATAAATACAACACATATTTATTCATTTTTGTAACACCCCGTTTATTAAATTAATTAATTAATTAACATATAGTAGCCCTAAAATCGATAATATATATCCAGGGTTGGTCTCAAGGAGTTAATTGCTACTATTTTAGAAGTTAGGGGGTTAAAAGTGTAAGTTTCGGATTGATTTTGTAAGTATTTATGAAGGCATGGACTAAATGGTAACTTCTGGGACTTCATTTGAAGAGAATTTGGGGCTAAGGGGCTAATTGGTAAGTGTTAGACCTAAGTTGAAAGAAATTGTTATGGAGAGGGGCCATTCCTGCCATTATGTGAGCAAGTTTGATAAGGCACAATATTTAACTGTTTCATTGTCGTTTGTAACCCTAAACCTAACCAATGTTCAACCCCCACCCTCTCCACCCTCCTTCTCCTCCCGCCGCCACCATCTCTTCCATAGTCACCGTGCACCACCGTGTGGAGGACGCAACCCATCGATCAAGCCCTGTTGTTGTCGTTCCTGTTGTTGTTGGAGACGGAGACCGACGATGGAGCGTAGTTCAGTCGGAAACAACGGGAAGCAAGTTGTAGCCACTTGATGCCGCTTGTAATGTCGGAAATGGCCCGAGAAACCCTCGAGATCAGAGTATGAGCTGTGAACGAAGAAGTGCAGGTCGCGAACAACCAGAATCTCTCAGTTGGACCACCTCGTCTTGCATTTCTGTCCTTCTTGAGGTGATCGACACCACGAGTGCCACTGTTGCCGTCGGAAATGGCTTTTAGTCGCCATTTCAACCTGTTCCAACGCCACCTGCTGCCTAGTCGATGGTTTGGAAGGTGGTCTCGAGTCGGGAAGGGATATACGTTACTGTTGAGGTCGTAAACCATTAGCCACTGTCGTCGTTGCAGCTGTTTCATGGCCATTTCATCGCGCCGCCATCTGCTGCCATCTTCCGAGGTGACCGACCACCATGGAAGGTGGTTGTGTGCGTGTTTTACTATGTGTTTAGGTGTGTGGCTATATTTTCCATTGTTAGTGTGTGTTGTGCATGTTTTGTCTAGCCGGAAAATCATGAAATCCACCGCCACCACGTGCCACCGCCGGCCATCACTAGGGTGGTTGTGTGTGTGTGTGTGTTTATGTTAGTTAGTGTGTGTGTTTAGTTTTGGATTAAAGTGTTGTAATTGTAATTAGCAAAAGAATAATGAAAAGAAACCCTAACCACCACCATGAGGTGGTGGCTGCCGCCTCCTTCCATCACCGGTCGCCGTGTCGGGCGGCGGTGTGCCTCGTTTGTATTGTGACTCGTTTGGGATGTTTGGACAAAGGGACTAAAACCCTAATGGGCCTAATGAAACCCTAATGGGCCTAATGAACCTTAATTGATCAAAAGACCTAGCTATTGGGCCTATTGGGCTAAAATGGGGTTGGAAACCCTAATTAGGGTTTAGAACACCCTAATATTGGATTTATAGGCCTTGGACTTATTGGGACCTACTTTTGGGCCATTGGAATGGAATTATGAATTACCCCTAATCACGCCATATGATTTATCTAGTAGAGTGATGGACTTAATGGATTAAGTCTTTAATGGGTTAAGTGAGAAACACTTAACCCTAATTGTCATTTTATGTGAAACCCTAATTTCACTTGGGCCTTGAGTTGGGGCTTTCTATTGGGTTTTAGTAATTTTGCCAATAATAGGCCATCCAAGAATTATTATATGAACTAGAATATTTAGATGGGCTTTAGGGTAAGGCCCATATGAAGGTTTGGGCCTAATTTGGAAAATTGGGCCATAGTTTGGGCCTTGATGGTTATATGATGTTGGGCCATTAGAATGTTAAATGTTTGGATTGGACTAAACGGTCGGGCCTTAAGTGAAGACCATGTAGAGGGTTGGGCCCAATTTGGAAAATTGGGCCATATACTGGGCTTTGACTCATAGTTAACTTGTGGGCCTTTGGATTGGGCCTTGGGCTTAAATCAAGCTAAGATAGGGGTAAGCATTCTTTACCCCAAGCATGGACTTATGCATATATGTGATGGAACCCAATTATTAATTAGGTGTTATTTTGATGTTGACAGATTCAAGAATCTGTCATCCAACAGCTAGGGTTTTGTCAACGGGACTTTAGAAGTGTGAGGTGAGTTTCCTTTTAGTAGGAAAAGGTTAAAGGCACCAAGTCCAGCCTGTATATGTGATATGTTAGTAGCTGAGTGTGGGTGGGGCCCGATTCTCCTAGTAGTCAAGTGTGGGCGGGGCCCAAATCTCGTAATGTTATTTGAGTATAGTTATGTGCCTGCTTGATAGAGTTAAAGATACTTGTTGTATGTATGATACTTGTATGCATGATAGTAGCTCAGTGTGGTCGGGGCCCGAATCTCGTAGATAGCAGAGTGTGGGCGGGGCCCGAATCTCCTAGACAGCAGAGTGTAGGCGGGGCCCGAATCTCTTAGACAACAGAGTATGGGCAGGGCCCGAATCTCCCAAACAGCAGAGTGCGGGCAGGGCTCGAATCTCCATGAGAGTGAGTGGGGATTGTATCTCCTAGTTGCATGTTATATGTATGGTATGTGTTAGTTTTGGGAGACTCACTAAGCTTCGTGCTTACAAGTTTTCATTTTTTGTTTTAGGTACTTCGGTTTTCAAAAGAGGAGCTCGGGATGATTGCAGTGCACACACCACTTGTTTAGCCTGGGATGTTTATACTCTGATATATTTGACAGATGTTATGTTACACGACTTATGATTTTCATATGATGAATGATAATTATGGTTTTATTAATGGATTTAAAATGGAATTTTTGGTCTGTATTTTTTGGAGGTTACAAGTTGGTATCAGAGTCTTGGTTTAAGGGATTCAGGCACACTTTCGGGTATGTCTGAACTCAAACTAAGGGTTTGGTATAAAAGTTTTCAAAAGAAAAACCAGGCTTGTAAAAGGATTTTGAGAAAAGAAAGGAATTTTAGAAAAGCAAGAGAATTTTGAAAACGAGAAAAGGGTGTGGTGCATGCAATCAACCGAGCTCAAGTAAGTACTCCCAAATTACATATAAAAGTTTATGTTATGATATGTGTACCAGCTTTATGAGAATTGCATGCTAGATTAAG